GGATACAATTAAAAAAAAAAAAAAAAAAGGTAACATACAAAGAATCATGCATTGTGACCTAGCCTCAAGAGAAAAAACAGTCAACTGAAACTAGTATCAAAATGATCTAAATGTTGAAATTAGTAAAGAAAAATACTAAATCAGCTGTTGTAACTTCATCTTATAGGTAAAAGAAAATATGCTTATACAAATAAAAACTTAGAAAATATAATCAGAAAAAAATTGAAACTACAAAAATTCAAGGAGAAATTCTAAAAGTAAAGAATTTATTCTCTAAAGTAAAGAATACACTCTATGGGCTTGACATCATAACAGATATGACAAAGGAAAAAGTCCTTTGAACTTAAAGATAGAACAATGGAAATTATTAATTAAAGGACAGAAGGGGAAAATACTTAAAAGAAAGAGGGAGACAGAGACAGAGAGAGACTAGAGCAAAAAAAAAAAAAAATCTGAAATTGTAATTTCTTAAGTGTTTCCAATTTTGATGATGCGTAATAAAGAGACGAACTGCACGTTTGGTGTTTGATTGCTGACTGCTTTTAAGCCCCACTCTGCTTCTTTGGCTTTCTGCCCACATTAAAGCAAGCAAATAAGAAAGCCCAGGTGTGTCCTCATTTTACACCAATGGAAAGTTCAAACCAGGGAGCCCTGGAGTGCGTGAAGGAACACACAAGTTGAATCTAATCCCCAACCACCATGAGAAACCCTTTGCCTGCTTTCTCATGTCATTTTGGATCTTCTTGGGAAGCCGTCCCTTCTCTCCCTAGAAAATGTTTGTGTGTATGGCATTACAAGCTTGAAATTTGCATAAATTTGAGAGGTTTGGGGGGACTTCATCCCACTTCTGTTGGGTGACCAGAACATGACATCATAAATTTACAGATTTAAGAACCTCATATAAGCCCAAGCAGGTTAGAGACAGACACACACACACACACACACACACACACACACACACACAGACACTTCTAAGAACACCAGTTAACATGCTAAAACCAAAAAAGAAAAGAAAATTTTAAGGGCAACTATAGGAAAACAATAAACTACCTAATAAACATACGTTGATTTGAAGGACCACAATCTTCTAAAAAATTATGGAGTTTAGAAGACAGTGGAAAGATAACTTTGAATTGAGAGAAAAGTAATCTCAATCCAGAATTGCATATCTTTAAGAGTGAGTGAGAAATTAATTTATTTTTATAAAAAATAAAATTAAGAAAATCCTCTTGACCTGGACACAAACTAAAAGAAAAATCCAGAGTCGAAGGAGGGTGCCATCAAGATTTAGTGTTTCGAACGCAGAGATCTCCTAAACATCCTGCAAAGCATATGACAGTTGCATAGAACAAATAATTATCTAGCCTAAAATGTGAAGAGTGTAAATTTTGGGTATCACTAAGTTAAAATATTCATAGCAATGTAGTACTGACATAAGAATTGACAAATACATAGATGAAATAAACTAGAGCATCCAGGAATACACCTGCAGTCACTTATTTTTTAACAAGAGTCTCAAAAGTATTTATTAGGAAAGAAAATTCTTCTCAACAAATGATACTTACATAACTAGATAGCCTTTTTGGAAAAATAATACCTTCAACTCTACCTAATACTATACATATAATAAAGTTAAATCCAAGGCCTAAAATAAAAGCTAAAACTAAAGAGATTTTAGTGGATAACATAGGAGAAGATATTTGTGATTTAGGAATATTCTTAGAGAGGTTGTAACAAATAATAACCCTAAGAGAAAAATTGATTAGTTAGACTTAATTGTTACTTTTTAAACATCTGCTCATCAAAAGAATATACGAAAGCTCAGACTGTGAGAAAGTTAAACAGTGCATTTCTAAGTAATCCATTGATCAAAGCAAACAAAACAAGAAAAATAATGAAAAAATACTGAAAAGGGACATTGGAATATATTTTTAACTGATGACAGAAAACGCATGTTAAAATTAGTGAGATACAACTACATCAATGCTTAGAAGGATATTTATAGCTTTAAAGGCCTATATTAGAAAAGAAGAAATGTTTCAGATCATTGACCTAAATTTTGATTATATAAAACTGGGCAAGGAGGAAAATAAGTAAACATAGATAAAGCAGAAAGAAAGAAACAGATATTATAGCAGAAATCAACAAAATGAAATAAGGAAAAATCTAAAGAAAAATATCAGTGAAACCAAAAGTTTTTCCTTTGAACATATAAGCAAAATGAATAAATCTTTACCTATATTAACAAACTAAAAATAGAGAAGACACAAATTATTAAAACCAAGACTAAAAGAGAAAATATCACTTTCAATCCCATGGAAATCAAAAGACTGTTTTAAAAAAATACTAATAATTATATCAATAAACAACTTGAATAAAATATAAACTCTTAGACACAAATTATCAAGGATGACTCAAGAAAAAAATCCAAATATGCATATAACCAACATATAAATATTGCATTCATAATTTAAAATATTTTCCCAAAATTGAGTCCAGGACCAGATGACTTCACTTGTGGTATCAATCAAATATTTAAGGGCTATAGTTTACAGAATAATTCAAACCTTTCACAAACTGTTTCAGAAAATAGAGAAGTAGGGAACAGTTCTCAGTTCATTCTATCAGGCCAACACTACTCAGATATTAAAGTTAAAGGCATGAAAATAAAAGAAAGTGAAATACAGCTATAAAAATTCTCAACTACATAGGAGGAAACTATATCCAATGACATATAAAAATAATAACACATCATAACCAAGTGGAATTTGTGCTAGAAATGCAAGATTAGTTCAACATCCAAAAATCAATTAAAGTAATATACCACATTAATAAAATAAAGAACAAAAGTAATCATCTTAATAGATGCAGAAAAATCATTTAACAAAATCTAATACCTATTTATGATAAAAATCTCTCAACCAACTAGGAATAAATGGGAATGTCCTCAACCTGAAAAAGGACATCTATGAAAAAAAACTTCAGCTAACATCACACTCAATGGTAAAAGATTGAATGTTGTCTCCCAAAGATCCGTAACAATGCACAATGCCTGCTTTTACCACTGTCATTATACATTATCCTGGAAGTGATGTTTAGTGCAATCACACTGAAATACAGAATATTCAGATTGTAAAAAAGAAGTAAGACTGTCTTTACTTGTATGCACAATCTTATCTGTAGACAGTCCTAAGGAATTCACATACATAAATGTGCACACACACGCAAATGCACACACAACTACGGAACTAATAATAGAGATCCGCAAGATCACTGGGTTCAAAAATCAATACATGAAAATCAAATCCATCTATATATGTGAACAACAAATAACCTGAATATGAAACTAAGAAAATGATCCTATTCACAACATTAAAAATAACAAAAAGACATTGTGGAAATAAATAAGTTCCTGTACCCAGAAAACTACAAACATTTCTGAGAGAATATAAAGAAGATATAAATAAACTGAGAGACATTCCATGTTAATGGACTGGAAGACTCAATATTATCCATGTGGCAGTTCTACCCAAATTGATTATATGCTGTTTACATGCAGGGAGAAAGTGTTTTGGTTATTTGGCGTTACATTATTTCCCCTTGAGTGTCCTATTTCTCACTGTAATCTTGACATCCATTTGTATCTCATTCTCTGTGGGTTTGGTTTATGTGAGTATGAGCATGCTCTGGTGTTTAGTTGAAATTGTTGCTTGCTTATCCAGATCTATCTTCTCTTCCTAATAATATTCTTTTTTAAAAATTATGTGCTCTCCCTTTCCCAGCAGCTCAGTGTAGACCCTGCTCTAAGGGAATGGGCCTAATTCATAACCCACCATAGATAACACTCCTTGCAGGGATTGTGTGGACTGCTGCAGCAACACAGATAACATTCACCAAAATACAGCAATTACATCAAAAATGAGCCAGAGACCCATTTTAGTCCAAAGGCTTACAGGGAACATATCTAGGACGGAAGAGCACTTATTTTTCAGAAGTCTGGCCAATCTTTTAAAAAAAAAAAAGAGAGAGCTCCTGAAAATTAAGATTCCTTCAGCATCAAGAAGAAGTGGGCACCAAGAGGAAAGCAATGTTGAGAGAATGGTAGAAATAGAGCCAGGTGCTGATGAACAGAGCAGGCACCTGACTTCGGTAAATCTGCTTTGTGGTTTTAGCTAGCTTGAATTGGATGTTTTGTTTCCTGTGACTAAAGATATTTCAAATTATTCAGGCTCTGACAAAATCAAGTTTCTAGAACTGTGGAAATAGCCTGATTCTGGAACAGAGTGGCTTCACTATGTGTTTCTTCTTTCTACAGTTTTCCAGGGGTGCCTCTCAACATACCTAAATTAGAAAAACAAGCTATGAATGATAAAAAATGTTTAGTCAATGCTGACAAGATTGTGTGGAAACATGAAGGGTGCGCTTTGTTTTTGACATAGCAAATTGGTTCAATCTTTCCAAGGAGAAATCTGTTGCTGTGTAATAAAAGCTTTAAAACTGTTCACACTTTTGACCCAGAAATTCAACTTCTGTGATCATGTCCCACAGAAATTCTCCTGAATAAAAATAAACAAATTTTGGGTCCTTATAGAAATACAACTGGAAAGAGGAAAAACGCTGGCTAATAATTCAATTACCAATCAAATGGGAAGGATGATAAATCAACATAAAAAAATACCGTTGTCTAAATAAAAAAAAATTGGAACTGTGCTCACTTGAAACAAATATGAAATAAAGCTAAATTAACTAGTAGAACACAAAATGGTAAGAACACATTATTCCCTAGGACATCAGCCTTTCTTTTTGTGCTCATAGATTATCAAATCAAATCATCTTCCACAGACATAGGGGAAGGTTACTCTTCTATAAACACACACACACACACACACACACACACACACACACACACACACACACCCCTACCTCCCCCAAACAGACATAGCAGTAGCAATGTGAGTTGGGTAGTGAGTGAGCTAAGAAACAGAAACACAAAGGGGAAAAACGATCAATACATATCTTTATAAACTTCCTGTGTGGTAAGGAGCACAACAGATGAGCAGGAAATCACTGAATGAATAAAGTAGTCACCAGTTGTGATAAGCTTGGTGGCAGTAAGTATGGTGATGGGGAGGGTGTAACTGGGTGAATGTGGTTATGGACTGAATGTGTTCCCCCCAAAATTAATATGTGGAAACCCTACCTTCTAATGTTGGTATTTGAAGATGGGGCTTTGAGGAGAAAATTAGGTTTAGATGGGGTTTTGAGAAGGAAATTAGGTTTAGATGAGATCATGAGAATGGGATTAGAAGAACAGGAAAAGACTGGAGTTTACTTGCTCTCTCTCCTCTACATGAGGACATAGCAAGAAGATAGAAGACAGCCGTCTGAGATCCAGGAAGAGAGCCCTCACCAGGAACCAAATCAGCCACCACCTTATCTTGATGTCCCAGCCTCCAGGTGAGAGATGAATGTTTGTTGTTTAAACCACCCTTTCCATGGTGTTCTGTTTAGCAGCTTGAGGTAAATTTCTTTGGATTAGCTGGTAAGAAAACAGTTTGCCTGAGGAAAAAATATTTAAGCTGAGATTTAAATAATGAAGAAAAACCTTTTCAAGAGCTAGGAGAAGAGAGTCTATGTAGGGCTGTTGATAAATGTGATAAACTGAGGTGAGGAAAAGCTTATCATATTGCAGGAAGAGAAAAGGCATCATCGTAGTGAAAGCATGTACCAGGGTACAAGAGGCACACTATGGCCTTCCAGAAGGATCCAGGAGTCCTATATGCAAGATCTTTCCTGCCACAGTAAATAACTAGGTTTATAATAAAAGCCACTAAGTGGACTTAAGCAGGGGAAGGAAAAGATCACAGTTATTTTATAAAGGGATCACTCGTGATGCTGTATAGGCAGTGGATAAATTATAGGGGACCAAGTTTTGAAGCAGGGAGAACAGTGAGGAGGCTGGAGTGGTGTCCCAGGGAAATATGATGGTGGCCTAGACCATGGCTACAGCAATGGCACTCGGAGCAGCACAGGTCATTTGGAGGTACCTTTAGTAGGACACACAAGTGGAGTCAAAAAAGCAGAAAGCAGGGGAATCACCAAACCCAGATCACAGGAGTATGGGTTGGACTTCCAGCTACTTCATTGCAGGCACAGAGCAGGGAGTCTAAAGGGCAATACTAATGATGATCTCATGCGATCCCCAAATGGAATACACAGGCAGAAAGCATATGAGGAGAAGCATGAACCAAGACACAAAGCTAATGGAGTCTGGAACTGGGGAGTTGAAGCCCAAAAAATACAGAAGGACCATGAATTCTTTAAGCCATAAAGAACAAGCTACATACATTTTGTTGTGGTTCCTGCTGTAGTGGGCAGACAGGTTGTGGTAAGCTATACATTCTTGCATTGAAGTCCTGGCCTAGACTCCATCTCCCACCTGTTTTAAAAGTGTCCAAATGGAAACCTCTACCCCAGAACACTGACCAAAGGCATGAGTTAAAATAGAGAGCATTCTACTGGGTGTCAGATATCCTGCTGGCATCTGATAATCCACGTGTACAAAAGAGAACAAGCATCTTCTATCGCCTTGCCCCCAACAGATACACCTATTCACGCCACTTGATTTAACAGAGTCATCTTGTAGTTTAGAGTTTTCTTTTGTTTTCAAAACGTTAATGTCTGGTGAACTTGTTGTTCAAAGCTCAGCATTGCTTATCTCACTGTAAGGTGCTTCCTGGTCTCAGGTTATTTCTAAGCAGCAGCAGTCACTCTCTCCACTCCCTCTCATGAAAACTTGTATCCCTTTGTTACCTCTCGCCATGTTTTAGCAACTGTCTGTAGACAGTCTCTACCCACGTCACTCATCTCTGTATTCCCAGATTCTGATAAGTGACTGAGCTACATTAGCTATTAGATGCTCAGTACTTCTTTGCTGAATGATGGGATGCATGCAAGGTTATTCACTAGCAGGCCAGGCCATCACTGAGAAACAAAACATCATAATGGGAACATCACATTTGACAGAAATAAAACATTATGCTGATGGAGGAGATGGAGCTGCCCAAGCAGAACTAAGAAGAAGCTCTTATTGCAACCATTCTGTGCAGATTCCTTATCTCGTGTTATGTGAATCCCAGTATGCCAGTCAAGGCTCAGTCAGAGAAGTGGAATCTCCATGGTGTGGATGCCCTACAGGGTCTTGGGTTCCTTATTATTTAAAAATGCACCTGGCCCAAGAGCCAGAGAAGGTGAAGGAGGATCCAGGGGAAGGTAGAGCAGGTTCAGGACCAGCTGCCCCATTCCCACAGGTGAGTCAGCAGATGAGCAACTGTGGCTGACCTCCAGGATGACTGCCGCTGTCTTTCTGCCTCCAGGTCTACCCGTAGCCCATCCTGACTGGAAGCTTAGAAAAAAGGGAGTTCTAGAAAGTGTGGTTCAACATAGCCAAGTTAACAAAGGCACCAAACGTAACAGCATTGATAACGGACTTTAAAAGGATGATCCTGGATGTTCTAAGGTTTGGTTGCTCATATTGGAGCTGGATAATGATGCATTGAAAAGATGTTGGATTTTCTGCAGTTGTCTCATGAACACATTATTTGTTAATTTTGTGGCCCTCTGTCACTCTATTAAATGACAACTCAAATCTTGGGCTTCAACTGTAAAAGCCTCTATTAATGCATTCAAGCTGTGGAGAAGCAAGAGCAAGGTCAAGTGTGACAGAGCCCTTCCCCCTGTAAGGGAAGTGTTGACAACCTGCTGGCCCTTTCTCAGAGGTGAGCCAGTGTTCTAAACACAGTGGGATAGCAATATCTGAGTCCAATCTTATCATGAGGCTTTGCTTTACTAGATGTACCCTGAGGATGACGTTATTGATTGAGGATAGACAAGTAGATGGATGGATGAATTCATACTTAGTGACATATGTAGCTAACAGTGTCCGTAATATAAAAGCAAAATAATTGCTCAAAATTATGACTATTCTTAGTGTTGAGTTTTTCCTGTGTATTGTTACACAAAGAAGCACATGTGATCAAATAAAAGTGTCCTCAGCCACGTTCTGACAGTACTCACCATACTAAGTTTCACAGGGTCACTCCTTATTGTGCCCATCAATTTAATCAAATGGCGTCACACAAAAGCACAGTTTAAGAAAGTGGTTTACAGGGGCCCAGGAAGACATAGCTGAGCCAGAGCAACATTTTTTTTTTGTATTTATTTATTTATTTTTCCCCATTTATTTATTTTATTGCATTTTAGGTTTTGGGGTACATGTGAAGAACATGCAAAATTGTTGCATAGGAACACACGTGGCAGTGTGATTCGCTGCCTTCTTCCCCATCACCTACATCTGGCATTTCTCCCCTTGCTATCTCTCCCCAGCTCCCCACCCCCCACC